ACCGATGAATTTAGGTAACCTGATTACATTAGGAACCATGTTGCGGAAAAATTCGTTTAATTAGTGCATAAACGTTTTAGGCATGTAAAAACGGCAGTAAGAACCACTCATAAGTGTTGAACTATTAATTGATCGAAAACGCTCCGTTTAAAGATCACATTTCATAGGAGTATGACATACAAAACCGTCAAATGTACCTTATAACAAAAACGAGTTTGTGAGTGATTTTTACAATATATATGACTAGTCAAGACGAGCATAAGATTATGCATGTTATAAAGTATTGTAATCACAATAGATCATTTAGTGAACCGGCGAAAATCACTCGTATTGTTTTCGGAATTCGTCGTTATTGCGAGGGTTGATTGTTCGGGTTTATAGTACGTGTTTACAATGTTTCTATCCAACTGTCTAACTATCTTCTATTAGCAGAAAAATGCAGAAAGAAGACTGGCTTCACAGACAAAGTCTGCTCACATCAGTCAACTACGTCGAAGATTATTCACTTTTTTGTGACTTGACCCTGCTGATATGTTTCTGATTCATATTAATCGGCGGATTTTATAAGAATAAATAGCTAATCTATTGAGCATGAACAAAGGAATATAAAGCCCACATACCGAAAGTAGAAGATCTGAAGAGGGGTTAGCACCGAATAACCCAAGGCTAATGTTGTTTTAGTAACGCATTTCAGAAAAAATCAAATCGGTGGAACGGTTAGAGGGAAAAGGCTTCATTTTTTGTTCTTATTATTTCATTAAGAACACAAAATATAATGAACTGGAACTTTGTTGGATACGTGGTTACATTTCAGGTTTGAGCCAAAACTCTGAATATACCTGACTGAATAATCGGTCGTGCCGATCAAAGTTTTCAGTCACTTATGCAAAGTTTTCGCGTCACTTTGCGATCCTGTGATTGTTTTGCCAGGTAAGTGGTCGAAGAACACTTAAGAGGATTTTTTTGCTAGATGAGCCGGTTTTAGCATATCACTACTTACTGAGTTGTTGCTTCCTAGCTTTTGTATCAGGAAATGTTTCGGTTTACTTGAAATAGCTTTGTATGAACATTCAAACGGAGGAATAAATGGTGCTATCGATTTGTCACACCTTATCCAGACGTGTATGTAGTTGCTTGGGTCCTTGGGTATGTATTTCGCTAGTGATTGTTCACGAATATTAATTGGTTTAGGCTTGAGCACTTAGTCTTGTAGTTGGTTCACGTAACTTTGTAAACTAAGCTCATCACCATCAGTACGATGATTGATAAATTCACTTGATAGTCCTAGAATCATCATGAAGACTATATCTGTTTCTGAACACTGAAAATCAGTTTTAAAATCTCTTCGTATCCTCAGCATAATTAATGACAAGAATTCTGTCCACTGATTGCGGTTCGAGTGCGATATAAGGGCAACATTTAGTTGATAGTGAAAACGTTCTACTATCCCGTTAGCCCGAGGATTATATGCAGTGCAAACTATTCTGTTGGAGCCTGGAAATTTAGATAAGTTGTTGAATCGCTAAGGTCTAAATTGGGCTTCCGTATCGGTCGTTATTGTAATAATAATATATTTAATAGTTTGCAGTATGCATGTTAAATAAATAAAATTTATAAAGGCTAATATCAGTTCATTAGTTCAGATATACTGAGTGGTCTTCAGAATATTCTCCAAATTGGCGTCGCGCCCACGTTACACACCAGATCCGATCTCCGCATTACTGTTTTAGGATTTTGGTCGTGCCAAGTATTTATTCAATGCAACGTTTCAGGTTTATAGTTGTTATAAAGTCGACTTGTAAAGCGCTTGGTGTGGACAACGACTTTAGGAAAACGCGCACATAGAGTTTGTTCCAGATGTCAGAAGTTCCATAGCTGTGCCCTCATAGCATGATATTGAAGAAAAAAGGGAAATCGAGGAGCGGCAAGGCACTTGGATATGGACGATAAACAATACTTAACGTTTTGTAGTGGAACAGACAGGTGTGACAAATGACTAGATTAAATTCATAGTAGCTCCTGTAGCTAAAGTGAAATGTGATCAGAGTCTCCAGATGAGTGAATGCAGTAACAAAGTACAATGACTTGTGATATTTATCAAGGTGAAGGAATGGAAGTCAAATATGGATGAAGAAAGGCTGTTTATTAGAACAGGAAGTGCATCGACAAAATAAAGCATTTTATAAGTTGTCTTAGTAGAATAGCTAATCTAGCATAAAACTGCAAACAGGAGTCTGGATGATGAGTGTAGGAGAACAACCTCATTATCACAGATTGATTGACTTGTTCTCAAACATAAAGAGCCTGATACAAACAAAATGTTCTGTCCCACAAACATGGGTGGATTTAAGTCATCGCCTTCACCATCAATGCCTGCTGGTCATTAACTCCACCCTCCCTGTTTTGTGATGTTAGGTTCATTTAAGCTTATTTTTGGATATATATCATACCTCACAGGATGCTCTGTGTTTCACATTCCGTTGGAAAACACTATCTCTATAAGTACCATTTTACAAGCTTGTCAGGCAGTTATAAATTATGGACTGTGGGTAAGTCATCGATGCAATGCTTTAATTGACTACGGTATAAAGTATAGGTTGCCAATCAGAGTATAGGCTTCAAGAAGGGTAAATTATGGGATAGTTGTTTACCAAAGTGGGTGGAGAAGTATAGAGACATATGAGTTATAGATAAGGTGACGAGTGGTGAAATAATATTAATGGCAAGTCAACAGCTGATAAAGAGTAGGCAAGAAGGAACTCACATTAACCTGGTGATGTCGTTATTTTGTTCGATCCTAACTTGTTGATGAGTAACAGGTTCCATAGATGCGAGACCACTGGTAGTAGGCAGTCAATTGTACGGCTTTTACTTCTTAGAGTAGTAGTGAGCGTCTCTTAGCGACCGAATATCGATATGTCCAGTGAGTCACCTGTCTAATTCAAGTAAAAAATTAGGGAGGGATAAGTATCCATTTCAACTATAAAGTAGGAAAATAAGGCAACTTGGTCTATACATGTAGAGAGCCCATAATTTCTGTGTGAGACGCATATGTGTTCATTTGTGCTAGATCTGTGCAAGTGGGGGCTTGATCAATAAGTCTTACAGACGTATATAGTTCATCTGCCATGTGCATTTCAGAGAGAAGACTGGTCCAATATTATTACATACTCATTAAGGAAGAATAGGTGTGCCAAAATGGTTACCCACTTCCGCATGGAAATCTTGGCCATTAGTTCATCTTTGATGTTCGTTACTGGTATGGCCATAGGAAACTTCATGAATTGATCTATACACGTAAACGGATAATTCAAAGAGCGACAAAGAGCCTACTAAGCAGACATGCGCATGGGCAAATCGCGCACCTGACTGTGAGAAAACACTGATGAGTGGGTTTGTGTGACGGTTGACTTTTGGCAGTTGACATACCAAGAACTCTCTATTCCGCTTGCATACATCCTTCTGTACATTTGGCCATATATATCCGGCATTGATTATTTTAGTCGAAGATTTTGCACCAGGTTGAGGCAAAGAATGAACGTTATCATATATTAATCCTCGCATATGTTTAAGGACAAAAGGTTACAGCATTACTTTGGTCATGATACAGTAAATCAGAATACCGTCAATAAGTGGTGGTAACTTCTTAGGTTTGAGACTAGAATTGTTTGTTGTAAGCAGCTTTCATAATTCTCGTTCCTCTTCCTTGTTGTCCCTTAACGTCTCGAAACTTGAGACTATTGTTTCACGTTCATTTATTGCCGAAATAATGCATTTGCCACCTGATCATCCTAACCTTCGATATGTCGGATATCACTTGTAAAATGTGGTATAGTCAATGCATCAGACCTCTGAAGGAGAATATTTATCGGTCCTAGCTTTTAATAATTGGTTAGCGGTCTTTAATCCGTACAAACTATGAATTCCCTGCCTTCTAACTTGCGTTGGAAAAGCCTGAATAATTAGGTGGGTTTCAAGAAGCTCCTATCCAAAAGTAGAATTTCTAGTTTATCCTGGAGTAAGTCTTCTTGAGAAGAATGCAGCCGATCCCCAGTCGTTTTTAACGAGTTGGTGAGGGATACCGCCTACTACTTTGTACGAAGTATCCACTATCAAAGCGAGTGGAGAATGGGTATTCGGATGCGTCAACGTAGATACTTGAGGTAGTTAATCTTTTAGCTATTTAGTTACCTCAACAACCTCAGAAGTCCCCCTAAATTCTTCTAGTTTTCTTTTAAGTGAATCTGTCAAAAACTGCATCAGTTGTGCACACTTGGGTATGAATATTCGAGAAATGTTAATGAGTCCTAGAAAATCTCTATGTTGTGACAGAGAACTTGGTGTGGGATATTGCCTGATGGTGTCCGCCTCTTTTTTGATCGGTGTAATCCATTCTGAGTTTACTTTGTGTCCGAAAAATTATAGAGTTTGAGCATTGAAAACACACTTACTTTGATGTATGTTTATTCCATTTTCATTTGACCTTTTTAACACTTCTCTCAGATGATTTCCAAACTGACAAATGACAAATCGTTTATATACCCCTGTGAAACTGGTATGTCTCGAAGTAGGTTGTTTGAAAATCTTCGGAGTGTTTATGTCTCATTCCTCAGGCCGAATGTCATGCGTGCAAACTCTAACGGTTCAAAAGGTGTAGTAATATGTCTTAAGTATACCTCCATCGTCTACTGATATGTTGTGATGTGCTCCTACCAAATCCTCCTTAGTGAATATGTTCGCATTTTGCAAGTTGTTTGCAAGATCTTGGATCTCAGGTATTAGGTGCCGATCTGGCGGTTGAGGGATTTGTTATCCCCTCATGGTTTCCAATCACCCTCATTTTTCCTTGGAACCATATTTAAGGGGGTTGCTGGTCAAAATAATTCCAATGGCCTGAATAATACGTTCGATAAAATTCGAGACGTAGCAATTCATAAATCGAATCCATTAAAACTAACACACCGAATGTCTCGACTACTAACTTCGGACGCAAAAAATGCCTAAAATCATACACGTCAAGAAGCACAAAGTAGGAGCATTTTGTTACATCAGATTACCATAAAGATTTTGGATGGGAAAACGAATGTGGATATAAATATTTTGGTTTCTTTTGATAAAAACAGCAATAGTGGGCATTGAAGATGGGTGACATGACAACCAACATATCACTTAGAAAATCAAGGTCATCAGGATCGGTGATGTGTTGTGTTCAGACAAAGTTGAGTCACTTCAAACAATGCAAAGGAGGTGAGAGTAACAATCCTATCCAAAACCCTACTTTTTTTAAAACACCACACATTCAATATTGTGGTGATTATAATTTAGAAGCAAACGTATGTCGTACCTCAGGATTCGTATCCAATATAAGACCATCAATTCGATACAACGGTAAACTCGATGAGAAAGACAACTCAGCCTTCAGGTATTCACCTAATGATCGATATTATTGATTTCAACAGAAACATACTGAGCAGTAATTACCTTTCCACAAACCATAAAGTTTTTTTGCCGTATTCCATGCCATCTGGGAAAGAAACTTTACCTTACCTTACAAATCAACTAGCAAACGAGACAAACGTATCAAAAGTCTTTTCGGTAAACGCATATGTTTCTATCTATAAGTGTACAGAAAGGAAACTATTTTTTTGAACAGAAATTTAAAGATATTTTTACTCCAATACTACCAAAGGGAAAACTTGTACTACCAACAAAAGCAGGTCCTTGTAACATCGAAGACGTAAACTTCCGTCATGTATGTCTTGCATTGATACAAATGATTTCAGGGCCTTAATACATATTCTATGACCGACGTAGTCCATTACAGTCGAATTAAACCAAGACCGTGTAAGTTAAACGCTGTATCTGTAATCCAACCTTCTCTGAACAGAAAGCTAAGTAAGCCCCTAAATTCATTAGGCGTCTAAATTGTACTTTGTATTCACATCTACCGTTTGCATACATACCTTATACTTTTAGTTGAAGAGGATATCAGAGAGCTATTTTCCTCATTTTCAGCCTCTTTTCATATTTTTTGTATTCTATTAAACAAATCAATCAAAAAAACAATTTTTTCTTTTTTATAGAGCAGTTGTAGCAACTGATTACTTTTGGGAAGTCACAGAGTCCGTGGAGATATGATACGCCCATGGCTTTAGGACTAACGTTCTGTGTTCTCTGAGTCGTTCTAGCCTAGTTGGGATAAGAAGAAAATGAATGCTAGGTCCAAATCTATTTATTCATACATTACATACCATGGTTAAATAGCCACGTTGTATAATTTCTCAGTTGCCGAGGACAAAAATAAATATGTCTTTTTATCATTATAGTCGTTGTTACCTATATTTGAGATATGGGTGGAATTATTTAGTAGTTTCGGTGAAAATTGAACAGATTGAAGCTTTTCGATGATTATTTCATATCAGTTACGATTAACTTTTCGCTTATGATAGCAGAAATCAATATTTACACTTTATTAGCTGTAGTCAAGTGATCTCTTCATTTGACCTAAGTTTGTTTGTCTCTCTTAAGTTTTTTTTTACATCGGCCTTAGACATATTTTGGTTATTCTAATTGTTCGTTTGAGCTTTCTTAAGTCAACTTTATTCTCCACTGATTAAAGTATACTTTGACTTTGTTTAGATGATGTAACCTATTTTTAACAAATGCAACAGTGCAATTCTGAGTTGAATGAGATTCTAAAGTGAAAAAAAAAGAAACTCAGGATAACAATAGGTTTAATTTACAGAGGAAGCATATTTTTAATGATTTTCAAGCCTAGTATTATTCCTCTGATATACTTATAGGGTATCCTTTACAAGTCTATTGGTTCTTGTAAGAATGGGCTTTGGGTGGTGCTCTAAAATTTGAGGTTTTTGTCATCCGCATTTTTTAACAGTTAACGCAACCTCTATACTAATCGATTATTAGCGCTTATTCAAGATATTCCATTCAACGTCATAAGAAAGTTTAGGTTATGATGATTGTCCTCAGGAAACATTTTACCGCCGTCACACTTCAAAACACTCAATAATGAGATTTATCTATCTGATCCTACGTTTCTACTTTTAGTCATACTATTTTGGATCTATGTCTGCTTTCACATCACGACTTCCTGAATACAGTGGAGAAAATCATATCAATTGCCTGTCAAAAATGCTGATTCACATTCTTCAACTTAAAGGCTTACATCGTGCCTCCAGGTTTTTTATGTTGATAATTGACCATGAAGTGAATTTAAACTGAAGTAATGTATCGCTTTCTACGTTTTTATCTGAACTACAATTTCTACTCTTTCTTGTTCATTTTTAATAATCCGCTGATTTTGTTGTTAGACGGATTTCACAGTGTTTTGTGTAGCAAGTATATTTTTTGGCTCCATACTGTATCATTGCTTTGTGCGCCAAACTTCAGAGACAATACAGATAATCAGTACTTTTTGTTAATTATAATAAACCCAGTTGAACAGAGCGATAGCGGTTAAATTTTGACCAGACTGTTACTTTGGGTAAAAGAGTGTAGCCCAGTTACGGATTACTACAGTAGACTTGCTAGGATATTTTAAGTACCGGTTACGGCTAAAACACCTACAACATAATAACAATAAAAGTCTAAAGTAATCGTTGTAAATTCATAATCTTACAGTAACGCTGAAACTTTTAACTTGGGTTATTAAATACAAAATATGTCCGATAACAAGTCATTAACCATCAATGCAAGTAAAACTTAATAAAAGGCTAACAGCTTATCACTCTTAAACTGGTTTTTTACCGCGATTATTTTGCAGCGTGGTATTTTTGAACATGAACGAAAACTAATCAAGTACGATAAGATTATTTGACTTGTAGCCATGCATTAATGCAATTTCTCAACCATCAAAAATCAGAAATTCAAGTGTTGAAAGAACGATCGCTCTAATCAAACAAAATAATATCTGGAGAGTTAATTAGTTACAAAAGCTTTCAAACGAGAATTATAAAGGAGTGAATGCATTTACCATGTTCATACTGATCTTTTCACAGTCTTGTAAAACTACTTAAATCAACGTCTATAATATGTTAAACAATAGTGTTTAATCGCTGCAATGAAATTTATTAGAAAAAGGCTTAAGACATATTATAGGCTATATTTTGTTTTTACGACTCATTTTAACCCTGTTATACAATAGACTGTTTAATTGGCGAAGAACAATTTGTCTTGACGACGTTGTGTTCTCTAGGTGTCGACTACCTTACAAAATAACACCTTTTTGAGTTGATGAGTATATAAACGCCCGAGGTTTTAAAGTAAGCGAAACCAATTATTCAGTTTAGAAATCCTAAATATATAATTTAGTCATTTTCTATGTTATCTTTCACTTAGATCTCATTGTGCTTATCATACACATGTGCTTGAATGCACTGTGGACGTTAGAATTGCACTTCCAGATTTTTCCACATTTATAGATACTTTCGATTCGTATTTTTGCCAAATAAATTATTAGTATTTCACACAAAACTTCAGATTATTTGTTTGGTATATTATTTACCTTCATACAAGCAACTAGAAAATAATTAAATCTATCATAAACCTGAAGTAATCATCAAAATTCTTCTATGTTGATTCAAAATGAAAGTTCATTTTTTTTATCGACAGGTTGGTTATTTTGTTACAAATTTGTATTTATTGAACAATACTTGAAATGTGTTGTGAGAAGTCAGAAATGACTAGTTATCTTAAAGTTATTCCGTCTGCTACAATCATGGACAGACGTCAAACTTCACTTTCATTTCTGACAGTGTCAATTTTTTGTTTTTTAACGTTAGAACTTTAACCTTCCGTATATTTCAGATGATATGTTCAGAGTTACTGTCGGTCGTAAGGAAGAATCTGGATCTACTAGTAGTATAAGCAACTTCAATGCAATCAGCAACCGTTTCAGATACTCGTTTACAACTGTTCAACCAGGTTGGAAAACTGATAAATTAGCAGGCCAAACTGCTTATATGAGTGATTTTAGACCTTTTTGTCATAAAAATGGTTCTGAGCCTTTCTCAAATTGGGTAGGCAACTTATCGTACCGGGAGCCAACTGATTATTTTATTCAAAATAAAATTTGGCCTGAATACAAAAGTCATCATTCATATTATGTAAGCCATTGGTCTTTTAGAGATAACTTCTGTTAAATAATAAGACGGATAATCAGTAAACTAAGACACGGATTGTTTTTAATCGTGTTAATGCCTACGATAGGGAGGCAAATAAAAACGTAGTATAAACCACAGAGGTGGTTCGAGAAAAATGATCAAAATCTACAATAAATCTGGAACAGAGAAATCAGCAATAGATGATCAACAATCAACAAAAAAGGACTATTAGACAAAGGAAACAAGTCCATTTTAACAATATCTTCGAATGGATTATCTAGCTAACTGTCGTTAATCCTTGGTAACATTACCAGTAGTTTTCAACCACTGATTTAAAAAGCCTCAAGTAATACGATCAAAACGCATTTATTTCTCTACACAAATTACACTGATGGCCATTTACTTTATGGTAACATATATTTACATTATTGTATGTTACATACTTTAAATTTATTCATATTACATGAGTTTACTACTGTCGCATTTTCCTGCATATACAACAAACTATCTCGAAGTTTAAAGATTCTAAACGGTTACCAAATTTTAACTGAAAACCTATTTACCTTTTTTAGTTTATTTTGTCTTTAGTATTCACTGACTAAAAAGGTTAGGTATGGATAGATCGTAAAGATATTTTATGTTTAGCTTAAAAAATAGTATTCGAATTGAGGAAAATAAAATAAAACCGAATCGTTGGTATCAAGTCGCTATGACAGTTTGGAAACCTTATTAGTAAGGGTTCAAAGTTTTCCATCTTTTATATCAAAGACTGCAATCTATTGGTCTATATTACTATATGTGAATTCTTGAAAGATTTTTCCAGCACTTCCTTTTCCATTAAAAATGTTGATATACTTAGATTGTAACTAGCAGTGGAATCCAAAAGGTTTGTTTTATCTTACTCAATATCAATCAGCTGAACGGACCTGGATTGCTGTACTGATATTCATATTGGAATTTGAGCCCAGTACCTATCACTTCAAGCGCCGAGTCACTCCATAGATCAACATCATTGTTAACCCACATTGGTCTTGTAATTGAACGGTACTGGCTTTTATTCTCAGTGTAAACAATCGAATGGATAAAACTGTGTTCAGCTTAGTCATCCAATACGAAATTAATTGCACTACCTGGTTTCCACTGCCAACCACAATCCATTCAAACATGAAAGTCTGGAAAACTGTAGTTCTTTGTATTTCAAGAAAAAACTCATAAAACACTTCCTCTATCTCATGTCAGGAGGTTTGAAAGCTTTGCTGCAATTGATGCATTTAGAGTTGTAAGGATAATAATATTTGTCAGCCAAGACATTCTTCATTTTGTTATATTACTGTCAAACACTTGATTCTGGAGGCTACTTAAGACATGATGGTATAACAATAATAGATGTTGATAAGATCAATATTAAATAACCTAGTTATTCATTCTTTTGCCATTAAATTATTTAGATATTTAAGCACTCCGAGGATTTTCCAGAAGTATATTTGGAAAAGTTAAAGACGAATGATTCAGCCGAATATCAAAGTGCTACTCATAAATCCAAAGCACCAAGGTAAAACGTATTTATTGTTTTATTTATTATTTCTATTAATACACCTCAGTAAGCTAAAAACTACCGCTATTTGATAGCTCACCAGATAGTTTGATGACAAACTGGGTATGAAAAATTATTGTTCTGGAAATTACGACCACCTGCGACTAGACTTAAAAGCATATTTAGAAATGATATCAAGAATGTTTTCATATCGTTATGCTAACTGTCCACTTTTTAAAACAAACTTATTAAACTTAGTAGCTGTCCAAAAAATCAGTAAATTATTTGACCATTCCTCTTTATTCATATATGAAGCGCCTAAGCAACCACTTTACAAGGCAGGTCCGTGAAATAGTAGTATACCTACTCTGCCCTTAGTTTAAAAATAACGAGTATTGATCTAGTCTCTAGCTATCAAATAATGTGCGTTTTAAAATCTTGCACATAAATCTGGGCTTTGTTATCATGTTGAGTTAGCATGGTAAGCCCCGATATCTTTGTAGATAACAGTTAAAGATACATTGTCCTTCGGATGTCCGCTAAAATAAGTCAACTAACTCAGAGCTGTTGTCTTTAAATCTAGTTTTCAGTGATGCCTAATTTCTGAGATGTAACTCAGATCCCGCAATCACCATTGTTAGGTTTAGCATTCTGTAAAGTTAAATGGAAATTTATTGTTTGGTCTTTTGGTGTATGACGAAGAATTTTTTTGCAGTTGCACTGTTAACTAAGACATCGTTTTACCCAAGAAAAAGTTATAAATACATCGTTTCAGAGTGTTACTAGGCGGCATATTATCAGGTTAACATCCAGCGAGCAACATATTATAAGTTAATTAATTATTAATTATTTTGTTATCCACTATGACGACCTGAAAAAATTGTACCCTGTTTCCGCAGAGCGCTGAATATGTTGATATTTTCTCTTGTTATTACTTTGGCATTAATATAAATAAATACTGAACGGTGTAACATGTATGTGATTGCATCTTCCTGTCACTTGTTAATAACCAATCTCATGATATCTAGACATTGGTAACCACAAAGTTAAGATTATATGTCTTATTGTAAACCATTTCACGCCGTGTAAGCGACATGGTGGTGACCTTTTCTATTATAACGCTAAGTAAAGTAGATCCAAATATCTTCGAGATAGAAAAATTTTAGTACACTTTATTGATGTAATTTACTGGTGCATGTTTACAGGTATGACGAATAGTCCCATGGGTTCCCAATGACTGTTCAAAACAATGTGTTAAAATATGTTCTGTATGATAATGAAAACTGAATACAATGTAGAAGAAAAAGGATTCCAAGTTTCAGATTTGTAGACAAACGGAATTTTCAGAAATAGATCTAGCTTACGCAATTATCACTTTTCATGACCAACTAAACTATTTTTCTGGTGATTTTGGTAATAGGAATGACCATAGTTTGGCTGTTTTTCATTCATAGGTACTTTGAAATTAATGAAGAAATTCCGTCGCTTATAAGAACAAACCATATATTAGCACTGGTCTGTCACAATTTCCGAAAAATCGATAAAATCTCCTAGTGAATATTTACATTAAAAACAGTTTTTTTCGCCTCACCAGATTAAATTGAAAGTAATCTACTGTAAAAAGTTGTAAACTTTCACCCATACACTTTCAGTTTATTATCTTGAAGAGAACAACAGCAAACATTTGAGGAGAACACGATGAACTAATTTTATTTTGCTAGGGTGTCGTTAGCTATTTACAAACTATAAAATACTTTAAAATCAAAATCACCATATAATTAACTAAATTATACTGGAGAAATCAGTCAAAATTGAATAAACATCGTTGTAGTGGAGTAAAGATTGCAATTAAGTCGATGAGTTTGGAAAATGTTGCAAGCCAACATACTGTCCAAATGAAGATAATAGAGTACCAAAACAGCTACTAAAGTTCATAGAACTAAAAATTCACTTAATTGCGTAATGAAATAACTGAACCCAAGTTAATGGCAATATAGAATAACATGACTTGAGATGTCATTCATTAGTAACATTATGAATGTAAAAAACCCTAGAATAATGCTATCAAAGTGTGAGAAAAGTTTACAACGTGATGTAATAAATAATCATATTGTTGCCACGATAAAGAAAGCTTCACGTCAGTTTTCTTTTGGACACATTTATCTGTTCTTAGGTGCTTGATGGCTATGACTTCAACAAATTTCAGAGCACTGTCTATTAATCAACTTGGAAGATTCAAATAGATCAACCTGTTGTCCTACGTCGAAGATTTATACTGAAACAAAACTACTGAAAGTCTTTAATAGGTTTGACCTCAAACTTTTAGGAATGCTTCCTTAAAATCGAGAGTATCCCTGTGGTATTTGCAGTCCTACTGGTTGTGTTTAGAAACAAGAACCGCTTCAATCCCCACAACGCAAAATAAAAAATTAAAAAACTGGAACAAATGTAGACTCATTAACTGGTCAAAAAACACTACCTTGTTTTTACTTTGAGAGATAACTGTCGATCTTTGGCTTCGTTAAAAAAACATGTTTTGTGCGAGATCATTAGTTTGGCTGCATGATACGTGTTTAATTAAGTAAATTAAGCCCAGAGTTTTAGGAAGTGTCATTAATACGGGATTTGGTTAACATCTAAAAATATCTCAGTTGCTTGCTAGCTTCGTACTAGTCAGTTGAATACATTTTGTAAAGAGTTTTTGAAATAAATTAAAAAGCTATTTACAACCATCAGCATCCAGATGTATTACTTCTTAGTTGTAACTTACGTCTTATTATTCAGTTACATCTTATATCACTGATTTTCGTTGGGGTACGGGAATAACCATCCAAAAGTATTCTAAGGAACCGCCCGATAGTAATCACTGATATGTTCCTCAAGGTATATTGTCTAATCAAACTTTTCCTGTTGATGTTTGTAATGAGACAATCAAGCCATACAGTTGGTTTTGAGTTCGACACATAACAATGTAAGTAATGTATTTCGTATTAAATTCTGAACTAGTTTTCTATAATATGCATACATTGTACTGTACAACCATTCGTCAAGCGTTTTATTGACATCAGTCTTCATATTTGCTTATATCCAACAAATTGACAAACGCTCTATTGATTTTTGAATTAATAACGGCAGCAGAATGGATTGTGATTTTGTCCACCAAACTCTGAATGTATAATCTGTTCATATTTTGATTCAAGTGATATATATTCAGAAGAAGCTGATTACATTTTCAAATGTATTTTAATGTTCTAAGCCACTATAAAAAATTATCAGATGCGTACTATGTAATTTTATAATGATTGTTTTAGTGAATTCAGGTATAATTCGTTTCTAAAAATTGCCTTTTAATGTACATAAGTGGGTTGGTCAAAGTCTTTTAAGACATGCTAAGTGACGTGGGTCTGAATTGTATTTTTGCTGAAGGAGACAAGATATTCTGCTTATAACGGGTGAAATTCATTATAAAAGCTGAATATTGTTAGGAAACAGTGTTTGAATAAATATGAATTAAAATGCTATGAAATTTCTGTTGATGGAAAGTGTTATTCGTTTCCTCTATTCTACGTCATCATTTAGATTTACCTTCTCTCTTCTGTAAACTTATTTTCATGTGTAAGATTATGAAAAATATGTGGTTTTTTAAATATAATTTTAGTATAACAAAGGGCTCACAGAATGATTTACAAAATCAACCTAAATCATCAGCTGAACTGTTAGGTAGAGTGACCATCGGTCGATTAGAACCGAGTGGTTCAGCTTTGAACATTTCTGGACATGTTCAAAGTCAAGATATGCCACTGGATCGTTTTATAACACACAACATGACTCGAGTAAGTGGTTATTCGATTTGTGACATTTTGTGGCATTTTGTCTTTAAACTCCCTGAGTAATATATATATAGGGTCCATAATCTTTGAAAGTAGCGAATCATTTATATTAAAAGTTATCAGGCTGCTGAAATCCGAAATAAAATGGCCTCACTCTTCTACGATGGAACATGTTTTATATCGCTATATAGATTAGTGTTCTCCAGCCAACCACTTTTTGTAACTTGAAGGTGTGGGTCTCGAAAACAATAGCTTCAAAGTACGTGAACTATTTCACATATTCTTGCGAAACCAATCTATGTTGATGGTTTGTATTCAAAATGCTTAGCTATTTAGTCATAGATTCATCAACAGATCAATCGTCGAATATTTTAACAACGTTGATCACTCGAATAAAACAGGCTATTCACCCAGACACACCTTCAAGTCCCGAACTAACCACTACAGGATAGTGTTCCTTTATATTTTTTTACAGATGAAGAGTCTCAACGTATATGTTGGGTTTTTATTCTTACCATTTGTATTAGATTTAGTCGAACAAATCATTCCCTTTTTCATACTGTTAAATCCTCATTTCAGTACCGCAAAAAACAACCATACGCTGGACTCATTCTTAATAATTCTCATAAAACACTAAATTAATTAATTCACTAGTTCTTGAAATCTAATAACAAATGTCTTCTATAGAGCGTGATCCTCTGTTTATATCTCGAGGACTATTCAGTTAAACTTATAACAACGAGTCGCACTAGTCAAGCTTAAGTTATGAATATCAAGGTCACAGGACACAAATAAAGAACATTCCGACTGTGGTCTGATCCCCGCTGATTTCAGTGATGATTTCTTAATAAATTATCTGCAGGCCACAACGTTTTATGAAATCTCTTCAACACTGCAACGAATGATACAAAAGAATTGTACTGAGTTGATAAGTAGTCCATTCATTTAAATTCAGTCGAATTTTAGTATCTACATTGGAAATTTTTACAAAGGCTAGTTTGAGAGCTTCAAATAACGTGGTTTCTAACCTTCATCTATAACCATCAAGAACGATATTGAACCAGAGATAAAAATGTATTCAGACTACTGGAGAGTATAAGTGTTGCGCTGGTTGAGATATGATCACCATATGATTGTTTGCAACTCCTTTCCCAGTGGTGCATATGAACAATGTTCAAATAATTAGATTGCGCG